AAGAGGGAGGGGGAGGGGGAGGAGGACGTCAGGAAGTCGGAGTGAATTTCTACTGCGTTGGCTATATATTTAGAGGGAAGGAGCTGACTGTAAGATGAGGAAAACCTATGCGTTGGCTTTGTGTGGCGGCCTGCTAAGGCTGTCATCCAAAGACTTTCTCTTATCGCGAGATTCACTCTGTCGTGGGCGACTAGCTACCACCCACCGATTTCTCACTACAACTATTCTTCCCCTTGGCTCGGCTTTCAATTCTTCAGCTCACCAGCATCACGCTTCCCGTTGGTACAAGCTAAAAGTTATCAGTCTTTCTCTTATAACTCGAGATCATATCGGTAAGTGGCCAACTCATTCCCGTCAAAAAAGAGAACCCGAGTTGTGTGACCAACCAACATGCCAACCTTTGTTACCAGCAGAAGTCAAGCCATCCTACCTCAACTTATTTTCCCACATGTCTCGAAAGCAAGACGGCAGCATGCTCCGCTACGACAGAATGCCCAATCGCAACCCCAGCCCATTCGGAAACTTCGAGCTTAAAGCTCGAATTTACAGCTCTTTCGACTGCAATACCGGCCACACCTCCTACTACCTACAGCCGATCCTCTCTGATCCTATTGGCACCGAGGCCGAGGTTATTATCCTCAAAGATATCGAAGAGCGCCTGACTGGGGAGCGGCTGAAAGTGTCCGGATCCTCCACGATCATTCCAGACCGCACCATAGTTACGTTTTCTGGAGCCGACATCGTGGCGATTGGAAAAGCCCTAGATGTGGACTTCGCTCCGGACACAAGAAAAGGCTTTGTGCGCTCAAAATCTCCTGACAAGTATTCAACCAGGGATAGCGCCCGTGGTGGAATTGACAGCCCCTCTGTCACACCAAGAGAGGTCCCATCGAGCAGCTCTGTCATGGCGGACTGGAGACGGTTGTTGGGACAGCTCGAGCCGTGGCCTGGACAGAGGGAGTTTCGGGATTTTGGCAAACGGAGAAGGCCGCCCGGTGGATGGGAGTGGGGGTGTTGATTGGTAGAGCGCGGAGATAATCTTCCACAGGGGGATATACGGTGGTTCTTTATGGTTGTGTTCCTTCAGAAAGACGTCTGACATTTGTTGATAATTTCACAAGAGCTAATGGGAACTCTTTGACACCTACCCAACTACATGCTTTGATTTCCGTACCTCATGGATGCCCGCAACTGCAGTTTCTCGACGCTATTTTGCTATTTACATTCCTTCATTGCCTTAATCTCTTCTTTGACTATCTTCACACCTTGTGTAAGTAACTGGTATTTCTCCACCACATGTCTAAGCTCTCCCCTAATTGCCTTCCCGACTTAGATTCCACATCCACCGTTCACTTCAACCTCACAACCGACTCTTCAGGCACATCTTCCAAAGGCCGAATATTCCATCGGGAATCTACTACTAGTGTCATCTTGTTTTGCCATTCCCTCGCTTTCATCGAGTTCCTGCTCCAACGACATCTTCTTCTCTCGATTTGCCCTGCATATACGAAACCTTACCCTCAATCTTCCTCAGTGCATTGGAGCGTCTGCAGTCTCCCCGACAACCTGCATTCCAATCCAAACTCCAAACCTCAACAGAATTTTTTCAAACCTCGCCTTTCATCCAACCGACCCAGCATGAATGCCATCCGCCTTATCTCCAGCCTCTTTTTGGGACCTTCTGCACCCTCTCGAAAATCGGTGGACCGCAAAGATATAAAAACTCCGCACCCGGGTTGCGATCGGCTACGACTGGGAGGAGCAAGAGGAGGGGGTACTTCCATCTCATTCCCATCAACTCCGTCCCTGAAATCACAAATACCGAGCCCTCCTGGATCTTCCGAAAAGGCGACATCAGGGCTTGGGAGATGATGTGGATGGGTGGTTCAGGGTCAGTTACATCGTCTTCGAGATGCAATGGGATAATGAGGTTGACGCTGGCCTATAATGATCGTTTGGTTGCCGTGTTGTGAGCTCTGGTGCGATGTTATGCTGTGACCTCCGGCTGGATGACTATTATTCGCTGCTGAATGGTGGATGTTGTGTGCCATTTTTGCATTTTTAAATACCATTGAGTGTTTGATGTCACAGTGAAACGATGTCAAAAAAACAATCCCAAGAGCCAGCCAGTAGTTGGTGATCATGGACTTGAAACATGCATGTGAAAAGAGTAAGGTACCTACCTACCTATGCACGTTCCCTTAATCAAGCAACAAACGCTGTATGCAAAGTTTCAAGTATACCGATCTAGATCAATCACTATGACGTAGCTCTCGCTGACCATATGCTATACCTATCCAAGACAAAACGCAGGCACTGATTTTTCACTCAAAACTCAACACTCCATTCAGGAAAACTTTCCCAATCCCACTCTCCTCAACCTACCATTGGCACCAGGCGTCATGGCAACTTCCAATCGCAAATCTACACCAGCGGTACGATCACCACCGCCATACCCACCAGTCCCCCAAACATTCCCCTCCTCAAGCCCCTTCTCTCGCGCCCCCCTCACAACGGCGTTGAACCGCATCCGCATTCTTGAAGCACAAGTCAATTCCAACAAAACAACCATCGACGCTCTCAAAGCCCAGAATCGCCAAAACCAGCAGTACATCAACTGCCTAGAAAAGCGGCTTGCAGATTTGCGAGATGACCTGGGGAAAAGCAGTTCGTCATCATCACCACACGAGTCTTTCTTCACCATTGCCTTGCCATCCCCAGAGTTATCCATCTGCATTCCGCCCGACGATGGCGACATTGTGGTTGTGTCGAAATCCGCGGTGGAAGTCATGGCCAAAACCTTTGGTCTTCGAAGCGGGACAAGCAACGGCATGAATGCCCCCATGTGTGGTGGTGATAGCACCTCCGAAGCCAACGACAGCTCCCAACTTAGTAATGCCAACTCCCAAACCAATACCATGCCCCGAACCGATGCTGCCTCCTCGCCCCTATCTTCCGCAGGGTTGCCAACACCTGCCTCATCGTATTCAAACGGGGTGCGAACCCCTGCATCATCATCAGACTGGGAAGCAGCTTTCTTCCCCACACCCACGCCCGCATTATCAAACACAGCAGAATCTGGAGAAGCAACAACACCACCGGCCCTGAGTGAACACTGCTGTGAATGTGGCCAGTACATTCAGCATGTCTTTGTACGGCAACCATCAGCATACCGCCTTTGCGCAGAGTGCGAGATGGGAAGGTCGATGGTGGACGAGTTCCCGCTGGTAGGAGTCCCAGCCCAAGCGGATGAGGCAAGACCGTGCTCTAGTTCTTATAAGAGTGAACACCTTCCTGTTTCCTGGGGCGAGTCCGCGATTCGTAGATACTGAGGCTTCAGTTCACTGTCTCCGTGTTCGGTTGGGCAGAGAGTGTTGGTGTGTGTAATGTAATCAGCATGATGAATAATATACTTTGATTTCATCACCTATTTACACAGTTCCTCCGGTGGCGCTTGCCGTATTTCATTTCCAGATGGATAGGCCCCTCACGTCGTCATGGTTCATCAGACCCAGGACCCCCTCCTGCCTGCAGCGGTTTCCTAGCATAGATGACATGAAAAGTAAAATACGCATGCACCTTTGGATCCATCAACGCCTTCCTCACATTGACCAACACCATCTCGATCTGCAGCGGCGTCCACCCCAACGCCGCCATCGGCCTCTGGCTCACACCCCTCAGCCCGTCCATCATCGCCGTCCTCAAAAACAACCCGCAAAGTCGTAACCTCTTGTCCTTGGGCCACATCCCTATGGGCGCTTTGTGTTTGGATTTCTTGATGTCTTCGAAGCCAGCCGCTTCGAGCTCATCGGGTAGTTTGTGGACGGCGTGCATGTGCGAGCCCAGGGCTGCGAGCCCGGCGGCCATGTATTTTAGAAAATCCCGTAGGGCGTAGGGGGTCGTGGGGGTGAGGGTGTCGTCGTCGGAGAGGGGGGTGATGTCTAGGTCTTGGATTTCGATGTAGCCTCCTGGTTTGAGGTGGCTAGCAGGGGTGGGTTAGATGCAGATAGATGGTGGAAGGTGGGAGGGGGGGATCCAAGCTTACCGCATCACCCGCGAAAGCAGCGCTTTTGTATCCGTCACGGAGTGCATCACATTTCGGATGTGGATAAAGTCGTACTTGTCGTCCGGGTCGACCCATTCTTCGTCAAAGTCGTCGACGAAGAAGTGGACGTTCTCGGGGACGTAGTTTGGCTGGATGGGGGAGAGGTCGATGCCGGTGACTGTGGTGTTTGGGTATTTGTCGCCGACTAGAGAAAGTCAGTTGTCAGCAGTGTTTTCGGAAGTGATTGATGCGGTTGCCCTTGTCATGTGAGTATGCTTCTGCAGTGTGCACTCATCGACGACTACCGTTCCTGCAAGTCTCCGCACCAATGAATCAAAGGAAACTTTTTGAGCCACTTACCTTCTATTGCCCATATGCCCGTTCCGGTACCTGCCGTAACACACAGCTTGGTCAGCTTCGAGATTTTCTTTTTTCTTTGTTTTCGTGAAACATGACTGGTCGCAACGACGGACAGGAAAGCTCGGTTGCTTGACTGCCCACAGCGGGCATCATGAATGGACGACATGAATCTGGAGCTGGCTGGCCACGAATTGTCTGATTTTGCTTCCTTGTTGAAGCAACCGCTGACTTCCTGGAGCATAACTCTCCCCTTTGCATCCCTCCAGCCTGCCTGCCTTTGCCATTTCGACCGAGGTCATGCCGTACATGAATTGATTCCCGAAACGAAAAAAAACTCACCCAGATCCAACACCTCGGCCCCCTCCTCCAACCTCTCCTTAACCGGCGCATAAAAAAACTCGCCCTGCATCAACAACAAACTCATCGAGTGCTTCATATCATCCCGGTTCTGCTCAATCTCATCATTCGGAAAAGCGTACTTCCCGCTCTTGTACGCGTGATATCTCAACCCCCCCTCATACACATGAGCCTTGATCGAGCTCGTCATCGAAGCCGGGTAGCTATCCGAATTGACGCTGTCGATATCCTCTATCGCCAGGTTGGCGGCCGAGTCAGTCGGGCTTTCAATGAGGCTGCCTCGTGGGCTGATTTGGGATGATGGGGCTGAGTCGTTTGATGTTGTCGTCGTCGTCGTCGCCGCCCTCGCTTTTCCTTTTTCCAATGTCGCTGCTGCTAGTAGCGAGAATCCTGTTGTTGAGTCGGTGCATACCGCCGCCAACAGCTCGTCTTCATCTTGCGAGAGGAGTGTTTCGATTGTCATTTTTGATGATGTGGAGGGCCTGAAGGGAGGGGGGCTTCGGTTTGGCTGTACTGGTGATAATGGTTTTGTTTTTGTCTTTGGCGTTGTTGGTGACATGGCGACGTCGGGTTTGGGTATGGCACCCGTCATGGTGGTGGTGACAGATGATGCGTGTGTGGTGGGGGAAGCCAATTCGTGAGTGTAAGAGAGGGGGATGAAGTCAGGGGATAGGCTAGATCGAAATACTCGGTAAGGGACGAACCCGAGAGAGTGGTAAGCTCGAAAAAAAAACCTAGAAAATCAGATGGCCGGGGTAGGGGTAGGGGGGGGCGGTTCCTCTTTCTTTTACCAGACCTCTGGTGCAATGTTGCAGCCGCGATGGGGTCAGGGTGTGAGCTGGTCCCAAAGCGGGAGTGGAGCGGTACATATTGGCCACCAGGGGGTCCTTGGCATGGCATTTAATAGCAGCCCAGGCTATGCACTTTTCGGAAATGAATGGTGAGGTCAGTCGGAGGTGATGTCCCGGTGAAGATGGACCAGTGCCTGCCCTGTGCCCTTGACAAAGCAGGCAGCAGGTCAAAAGGTCAGATGGCAACGGATGGCGGTGAGTTTCCCCCTCTGTCCCAGTAGTTTGGTTGAGTGCTTGTTGTCTTGGCAAGGGTAGTGCCGCTTGAAGAGAGTGGGGCAGCCCAGCCCGAGATGAACCCAGGTCCACATGCTCGGCTCCCGGCTGCGGGAATCCCGGCGCATCATCCCTGTGTGTGCCGGACCCGGGCGCCTGGAGCGATGCATATCATCATCGAGAACAGTCGAGGACAGAACGGCGGGAAACGGGGAAAACTAGCGATTTATTTCTATCCCACAGCAGTCAACAGCAAACTCGATGTGAGGGCAAATGCTCAATGGGGCAGCCAAGATCGAGTGGGGTTGGCCCAATGGGGGCAGGCAATGATCATCGCCAATCTTATATTTCCGCGTTATCTCCATGGATAAAGCATAGATCTCGTGCAACCCAAGCGCTCCAATCTCGGACGATACATAATTAGACCCTCTTCATAGATGCCGATTCCAATTCACACCATGATGTATCTGCCTGAAGTGAAGCGGCCATCTATGATCACTCAACTCAGCCTCCCCTTGAACCTCTTCTTCAGCCTTTCCTCCGTAATCCTAAAGATGTCCGGAAACCACTTTTTCAGCTCCTCCTCCTCCGTCCCTCTCATCATCTTCACCAAAGCATCCGCACACATCCAGCACAGCACCATCCCATGTCCCTGAAAACTGGTGCTCACCCATAGCCCTTTCTGGTTCGGAACCTCCCCTACAAACGGAAACCCATCCGGGCTGAACCCCATAATCCCAGTCCACTCCTGTCTTATCCGACCCTCAGCATCATCATCCCCCCAATCCCTCCCAAAATACCTCGCTGTCGTCTCTCTCAAATACTCACTTATCCCCTGATTCAACCCCGAATCATCACTCACCCCAAACTCCCTCAACCCCTCCTCCGCCTCCCCCCTCACCAACCCCCCTCCCATGATGACATCCCCTTCCAGCTCACTCCCCTCCGGCCTCGTAATCATGTACTCATACCCCCCCTCATAAATAAAACTGTACGTCGTGTCCAAACACCCCTTCTTCGCCATCTTACTCCCAGGTCTGTGCGCCGTGATCTGCCCCCTCAACGGCACAACCACCCCCTGAAACACCTCCGGCATCACCCCCGCAGCATACCCATTCGTAGCCATCACCACCCTCCCCGCCCTCACCTCCCCCCTCCCGGTCTTCACCACCCATCCGCCCCCATCCCCATCCCTCTTTACCTCGCTAACCCCCGTCTCGGCCTGAACATTCAACCCCTTCCCCTCCATTGACCTCAACAACCCCATAACAAACTTATACGCCGACAACCCCCCGGCCGCATACCTCACCCCCCCTCTCACCTCCTCTCTTTTCCCCTCATAATCATAATCGTGAACAAAGTAGTCCCTTTCCAACTCCTCCTTCCCTAGCAAAATATACCGTCCCACTGGATCATCCCCAGGGAAAACCTCCCTCATTTTGTGCACCGCTTCTTTTGCCTCGTCCCATTGCGCCGCGTCGTAGATGACGTCTGTTGTATCCCCTTCAAACAGATCACATTGGATATTGTTGGTCTTGGCGAATGAATGCACTGCCTTGATGTTATTGTGCTCTAACCTCGCGATTTTGATCGCTTGGTCTAGACCGAGGGAGGAGATGTGGGAGAGGAAGGTGCGGTAGGAGGCTGCTTTGGTGTGTCCTCCGTTTCGGCCTGTGGCGCCGGAGCAGAGGGTGCGGGCTTCGAGGAGGAGGATATTTGGTGGGGAGGTTGTTGTTGTTGTTGTTGTTGTAGTATTATGGGATTGGAGAAGGTTGTAAGCTATTGCTGCGCCTGAGATGCCTGAGCCGATGATTATTGTGTCGCATCGAGACGGGAGATCTGGGGTTGAGCGGTGGGTGGGTGATAGGGTGAGGGGAGGTGGGGTTAGGGTGTGCCAGTAGGAGGTGGTTGGGTTGGGGACTGGGAGGGAGACGGGGAGGGAGGCTCTTTCGTCCATGGTGAAATGAGAAAAGACTGTGATGCGTAGGAATACGAAGGGGGTGTTGAGGATAATGTTGAAGAGAGATTGTTTGTGAGATGTGTAAAGTTGGAGAGTGGAGGGGAGCTTGGTCATGGTAGGTGGGGTAACGTAGGGCGAGGTAACAGAGGTGGGGGTACGACGGTACATCTACATGGTGAGATGCGTTCGCATTTAAAGGTTTCATGCGTTTACTATATGCATTACTTTCTAAGGATGCATGTTGGAGCAGCCTCAGCTGTGGAGCTATGAATGCTTCCTGATAACTTACCAAAAATCATAAGAGAGGTGCCGACTAATCCTGATAACGCAACTAACATAGTATATGAAACTTGAGCAGAAGCATACCACAATGTGCCATGTCACTAGGTAAAAAGGCCTCTTACCATAGCAGAATGCCTGTCTGTCCAGTCAGTCAGGGGCGTGTTCATTTTCTCAGACAGCATGTGAAGATTGCAGAGGCATTCTCAACATTGTCGAGAGGAGTGTTCGTTATTCTTCGATGCCTGCAAAACTGCGGGAGATATTGTTTTAAAGGATCGAGAGGTATGCTTATTATTTTAAGGACTTGGCAGAAAATAAGGATACCTCTGGAAGCGGTAGAGAGTTGTGCTCATGATGTTTAACCCTTTATGGATAGCAGGATACCTACTAGGAAGACCGAGAGGCATATTTGATATCCTCGGTGCTTTGGAAGATAGTAGCAATGTGCTATAAGGTGATAGTCAAGAGGTAATGTTTACTATCATTAGGGCCTAAAAAGATAGCTGCTAGATATGTTATATAACGTTGATGCTGGGATTAAAATTGCTAAATGCTTGGATTGTAACATTCAAGGCTGGGATTGCGACATTTAATGCTGATATCATGTCCATTTAGTGTCCATACAATGCTTGGATGGTGTTTGAGAAATGCTGGGATTATAGGTACCTTAACTACTTAGTGTTACCTTCTACGCTACAGTGAAGTTTCTGCTGGGCATCTGGGGGTTCTCATAATTCCATCTAAACGCGCTCCTAATTCCATATAAATGCACCGCCGCAGCGGAGAGGACAATCAAAATATGGAATATCTGATGCGATGCCCCCTAGAAATCAAATACTCCGGGCTTCCATCTTTCTGGGAAACGGGTCTAGAAACACGTGATGGTGAGTAACTCGTCGGCTCGCCTGTTACACAGGGGCAACCTACGATGTAGAACACAACGCCGATCAGGACGATACCTTCCTCGATGTAGTAGTGTCTCAACCCAGCCTGCTTATCAAGTTGGTGATATGGGAAGATGACAGCAGCGTGAGTTATTGGAGCAAGGGCTGAGAAACCAGTCACTACGAAGCTCATGGTTCTCAAAATCCGATATCTCGGTGACTGAAGATACGGATTCACCACGATGAATCCTGTGACAACCGATAAACCGGCAATCTGTTGTGGGCCAGGGTAATCAGCCTCAGCCCTCCGATGCGTGAAGAGGGAACTCATACCATTGACCAATAGACCGTCTGCAGCCTTGCCTCACAATAATACCCCAGATAAATACCCGACACAAACGACCCCAGAACCTGGACAAGAATGGCGAGGTAGTCTATACGTACCATAGATCGTGGTAAGAACGCGAGTGGCAGAGCAAAGTGTGGTACAGAGAAGAGATTGTGAAGCAAATGACTGAACTTGACGGAATGAGTGACGGAGCGGTGGGCGCTGAAAATGAAGGAGTCGGTGTACCAGTCTGGTACCTCTACGTTGGTGAGAAATTGCCTTGATGTTGCGTCGGTTGTGGCTGCCGGTGTTGGTGGAACCGCCATTGTTAATGGGGGCTACGACTGAGTCTGTCGTAGGTTGTTTGATGGTGTGGCCGTGTTGGGGCCAAGGAGAGTGGCACTCGGGATGATATTCAGAAGTTGTGAGGCGTAGGAAGGCAACTCGAGGGATAGATTTAGCTGTAGAGAAACGGCGTGCAATAGTGCACTGTTATCTACTAACCCCTCTGGACTTTAAACATGACTTCAGATCAAAATGTGCTTTGAAATCTACACATCGTCATGGCCCTCTCATCCGCTTATGATATTCTGCCACTGACCCATGTTGGCGACATCAAGCTTTCTCGACTGACATGGAAGGAGAGCTCGTACTCATGCATTGCAACGCTGCTGTATGCATCAGCACACTTTACGGGATGGAACTATTCCTTCCTACTCATCTCGAACAACGTCTTTGGCGTATCTCGAGTTCTTCTCTCGTTGACATAACCGTGCTTTTCTGGTTCGTTGAGACTCTGGTCAAAGGATACTGGACTGGTGCTATCGAACTGAGTTAATGCTGCTTTTTCTTGTGGAAAAGAAGTCGTCGGGAAACGAGTTGGCTGTTCTGTCCGACGTGGAAAACGGTAGAGTGAAAAGATGTTACCATCACCATGATATGTTAAGACTGAAACAGAGGTCATCGGCGAACTCCGCTTACCCACTCAGCTGCCGCTGAAACGCCGGAGCTCTATATCGACGGTCTACGGATTATATTTTTGTGGTCTCTAACCTATTGGGGAAATGCAGCGCGATGTCAAACACACCCAATTTTTGCTGCAATTTGCATCGATGAACATAGCGATTTGATTTCCAGAACTTTGCCTTTCATTTTCAGCCGATACGCGCATGCTCCAGGACCAGAAATAATATAGAAAAAAGGCAGGAAAATGAGCCCTTTTCATTAATGGAAGCCGCTTGGTTAAACAGAGGGTCAGGGTTTGTAACCACCACCACTGTCATCATCAAACATCACCACCACCCCCTCACCACTACACCTTCACCGCCGTAATATCAAGACCCTCACTCAAAACCTTCAAAAATCTAACTCAGCATCGATTTCTAGGAACGACTGGCACTGTCTTACGGTCATACAAGCTGCACGCAAATTTACCTGCGGTTTGCATTGTGGGGAGAAACGGGTAAATCTGCAACGTTCAACCTAATGAGGTTAGAAGGCCGTGAAAGTATAACCTGGGGGGCCGTAAATATAGAGGTCCCGCTGAAACCTACCTGCCGCTTCCCGTTAGCGCATTCTGGAACATCGTCATCTGGGGACCCCTGGCCTGGGCTCAAGCAACCGCGAAAAAAAAGCGCGCGGGATGGCGGACGGGGGAAAGCCGTTTTGGACGACTGCGGGGTTCCAGAATTTTTTTGGAACAATCCCATTCCCTGGTGGGGTGGGGTTCAACTGATTTTCAGATCCAAACTTTTTTTCTTGCATGCTTTCTGACTGATAATTTCTTACTTTCTCCCTCTCCCTTCTTTTGAAAACTGTGAATATTATCCCCCTCGTGTGAATTCCCACGTCCCGAAAGAGAGAAGAGCATTCGCTTATCGGGTATCATCGCAGCGTCGTAAATAACCCCGCCTGAAACCGCGACTTATAAAATCCCCCCACCATTGCCTTCCAAGTATCCGACGAGGACCCTCATCAACGGTCAAACACCGACACAAAAAACCCAAGAAAACCAGTCAAGATGGTCGAGAAGCTCTACGTCACGTACAACGATGTTAGTCTACCCGTTCTTTTACCCGCCCACCTACCTTGTGTTCCCAGTCCACCACACTACCCCACACCATCACTAACATGCCCTCCCCCAAAAGGTACACAAACTCTGCCAAGAGTCCGCCATCCCCATCCTCTCCGAGTTCAAGCCTGACCTCATGATCGCCATCGGCGGAGGCGGCTACGTCCCCGCCCGCATCCTCCGCTCCTTCCTCAAGCAGCCCGGCAGCCCAAACATCCCGATCCAGGCCATCGGTCTGTCCCTGTACGAGCAGCTCCCCAACGCGGCCGACCAGGTCGTCGAGCAGGTCGGCCACAAGGTCACGCGCACCCAGTGGCTCGACCTCACGGCGCTGGGCTCCATGAAGAACCTGGTCGGGAAGCGCATCTTGATCGTGGACGAGGTGGACGACACGAGGACCACGCTCGAGTACGCCGTCAAGGAGCTCCAGAAGGATGTCGAGGAGGTGAGGGCCAAGCTTGGTGTGGATGAGAAGACTGAGTTTGGAATTTTTGTGCTTCATGTAAGGTTTCCCTTTGACTGAGAAGGTGAAGTGAATGGTGACTGACAGAAAAATAGAACAAGGACAAGCAAAAGCGCGGCACCCTCCCCGAGGATGTCACCAACGGCCGCTACTGGGCCGCGAGGACGGTCGGCGACGAGTGGATCTGCTACCCCTGGGAGGCCATTGACATTGACGAGCACGATGCCAATGCTGCTGCTGCCTTGGCCAAGAAGTCTCAGGCCTAAATACGGGGATGATAGCAACCTAACAACCCAAAAAAAAGAGAAAATACCCAAAAAACAGAAATAGCATTGTGTTCCCGTGATGATACCTACGGAGTAACGGAAGAATGGGGAAAGCCAGCGGGGGTTTTCTGAGCATTACTTGGAGATTTTGACAGAAGGGGACATGGCGTCTGGGGATGCTTACACGGGGACGGAGAGGTCATAGATGGGGTGTTGATCCTATGACATGGGTTCGAGGAGTTGGAGGACAGCAGCCAGTTCAGGAAAAGCCTTGGATATATATAAACATACTTGCGACATCAGCCTCCCATGGACATACATAGCAACCCGCCTCAAGAATCACGATGCACTGAGGCCACAAAACTGAAAGACGCGCAACCCGCGTCAATTAAAAAATCACCCATACCTCCCACCGCAACTTGGCCATGAGATCTACAACAGTCCGCAACTTCCATGGGTATTCAACAAACAAAAACCACCGCCACCACCAATAACAAAGGGACTCTCTCTAGAAGGGTTGACAAAAGGAGGAAAAAACAGTTCCTGATATCGTACAGCATCGTCACACGTCTACCCACAATCTTAACCCCCCAAAGTCCCCTCCCTAGCATGCTTCTCCTTCAACTTCTTCTCCTGCTTCATAAACTCCCTAATCCCCACCGGCACGTTCTTGTACAGCTCCTCATCCCAAAGATCTCTAGTTGTTTTCCCATCCGCATCCCAATTCGCGACCGAGCCACCGCCATCATCCTCCATAGTAGTACTAGTGGTATTTGTGCTCTCTATACTGTCCTGCGTAACCCCCACCTGTTCTCCCACTTCTGTCGCAGCCTCCATCCTCGCTTCCGCAAGTTTGGACTTTGCAGCCCAATCCTCCATCTCGTCACGAAACCGATCCCAGACGCAGTTTACACACCCGCTCATGCAGCAATTGTCTGGTTCATCTGGTTTTGGGGGCACGAGGACACCGTTGATGAGGCGGGATTCGGATTTTATGCGGGCGAGGCGTTCGGCGCGCTCGGCGGGGCCGGCGAGGGAGGAGCCAAAGATTACTCTTGTGCGTTGGGAGTTCTGTTCGGAGGCCGTGTTAGAAGGGAGTTCTTCTTTCGAGGAGGAGGTTGGCGGTTGGTCGGAGGGGAGGAGGATAGCGGGGTTGGGGCCGGATTTGGGGGTTGGAGGAATTGTGGTGGATGATGAAGAGGAAGAAAGTGGTGATTCTTGGGCAGAAGAAACAGCAGAAGAAGAATGGGGGGAGGAATCAACGGACTTGGTTCCGGTGCTTCGTGGCTTGCGGGTGCGCTTCAACGGCTTCTTTTCCTCGGCGATGGGGGCCTCGACTGGCTTTTCTTCCTCGACGGCGGCGGCCTTGGGGGAGGGCTTTGGCTTCTCCTCCTTGGGGGGAGCGGGGGCGGGTTTGGTGGAGGGTTTCTCCTCGGCGTTGGGGGCTTGCTTCTCGGTCGGCTTCTCCTTTTCGGCGGGGGGCTTTTCGGCGGGGGCGGGGGCGGGATCGGGCATGGACTTGGGGTTGGATTGGGAGGTGACGGGGGGCTCTTCGGGCTTGACCTTGGGGAAGGGACCGGAGGGGGTGCGAAGGACGGATTCGTAAAAGGGGCCGATCGGGTGAGCTTGCTCCTTGGAGGGCTCAATGGGGGTCGCGGGGGTGGAAGCGAATGCGCGGCGGGTGGGCTGGTTGCTCAGGGCCCGGCTCATAGCGCGCGCGGCGGGCTGCGCAGTGAAGATGGATCTCCGCATTTTTTTGGGGGAGTCTGAAGTGTGGGTGCGAGTTTAGAGTTTGCGGAAGTCTGCAGGAAGCGGAGGAAAAGAAGCGTTGGCGGTTGGGAGAGGCACCCGGGGACTTTGGGGGAGAAAACGGTTACTTATCGGACGAGATTTCAATTGTGGTCGAGGCAGGGGTCCATTGCGCTGCGGGACACCGGATTTCAAGAATTTGTGCCGAGGACATGCCGCTAACGTCATGGAAAGCACGGATCACCTGTCAAGAGCAAATCATCCACCTTGACGACTGCACGTGTCAGATCACGTGTAGTCTAAGAGGTTCAACATCAGTGTTTACATTGCCATGGCGGCGATTGCGATATGGTAATTGAAGAGAGCGTCAATTGCCCTGAGGCATACAGCACTTCATATTCTCTCAGTAGCCTCTATATTGTTAGAAACACTAGGCCTTTTCAGCACATCTTCAACCCGTGATACAGTAGCTGTACATTTAGTCCATCAGACAGCCTTTTGGCCTGGTCTTGGCAATTTTCCAGCACAGCAGCGCAAAGCAACATCCCGACCACATCAACCCAGCGCGCAAGCACAACACAGCAGATTTGACGCGTCCGCAACTGTCTTCTCGCGCCAAACCTGTATGCGACCATGATTAGATAGACAACATCTGAATTACGCCACCATGGAAACTTCAGC